GTGTGTGTGTGTGTGTGTGTGTGTGTGAGAGAGAGAGAGAGTGTGAGAGAGAGAGAGTGTGAGTGAGTGAGTGAGTGAGTGAGTGAGTGAGTGAGTGAGTGAGTGAGTGAGTGAGTGAGTGAGTGAGTGAGTGAGTGAGTGAGCGAGCGAGCGAGCGTGCGTGCGTGTGTGCGTGTGTGCGTGTGAGAGAGAGTGAGTGAGTGAGTGAGTGAGTGAGTGAGCGAGCGAGCGAGCGTGCGTGCGTGTGTGCGTGTGTGCGTGTGAGAGAGAGAGTGTGAGTGAGTGAGTGAGTGAGTGAGTGAGGGTGTGCGAGAGAGGGGAACAGGGTCACATCACAGGAGAGTGAACTGTCTGTCAGGAATCATAGCACGTCAGCTGTCTTAACCGCGGCTTGTGTACTGCATCATCCCTGTGTCTGTCACGAGACTCTGTTGCTCTTTCGGGCTTGAACTAGGGCTGCACAATAAATCGCATGCGATATTTAACGCGCATCTTGTCAGAAAGCCTCCATCAGCTTTCACATTGAGCAGCATTAACTACACAGAGCCATTGTTCACTGATGAGCTGCGCAAAAAATCGCGCGAATATGACCGTGGTTTTGCGCAGCTCATCAGTGGTAAAACTAACGACATTATTAACGGTCTTGATATTTACTTTGAAAGATGAAGCTGCGATTATGGTAAGGAGCGTTACATTTCCGACGAGTGCTTGTGGTGTTCGGCCAATCACAATGCACTGGGTCAGCTGGCCAACCAGTTTGAGAGAGGCGGGGCATAGAGGACCTACAATAATGTACAGTATTTGAAAAATAATGTGTTTTTTGAACATTAAAGCATGTCAACATATTCTGTTACACCAAATACACAAAATAATGATCTTTAAAATAGCATCCTATGACCCCTTTAATACCGCGCTGTTTCGTCCCACTTTTGGTGTGTTTGGCTGTCCATACGTAAACCCGGAAGCGCAAGCCAATCATTTTAAACCAAACAAAAGCCCTCGGAAGTGTCGCGTGTGTTTTTTTATTCGGGAAATAGAAACTGAATATTAAGTTTGAAAATGTTACCAAACAAAGCGCTCACAGAAGAACGGCATAAACCGCGCGAATGTAATCGGATGGATTAGCTTTGATGGATCGGTCCTTTATTTGTCTGTAAATGAGAACACTGTGCTTCGTCTGTATTGCGCCGCTGCAAATGAGAATATCAGATTTAAACTATCTCTATTTTGTGGAGAATTAAGTGAATGTGTGTGTATTATCTTCTAGCATTGCTCGTGTTTGCTTTCTCAGCAGTGCTGTGCGTTTGAAGTGTTTCTGCTAGAGCCCGATAGTTGCTCGTTATCTAACCGGACAGCAGCCGAGCATCACAGAGAAAGCTGTTCGTCCAGAATGACTCTGGCAGTGTTCTTTGGCTGTGCTTTCATAGCGTTCGGTCCAGCTTTCGCCCTGTTTGTGTTCACCGTCGCCAAAGACCCGTTAAGAGTCATCATTCTGATCGCAGGGTGAGTCACGTGATCGAATCTCACTAACACCCTAAACACATTAATCAAACACACAACACACAATGCATTAATCAAACACACCATGCATTAATCAAACACACAACACACAATGCATTAATCAAACACACCATGCATTAATCAAACACACAATGCATTAATCAAACACACCATGCATTCATACATGAATTATTCAGGCTCATAGAACATCGCATGGTGTTACTGGGGGCTCCACTGTACTGTTACAGTGTAAGAGACAGTCATGTAGTAAGGTGGACAGTGGAGAACATGTTAACTGTCTTTATATAGTCTTTAACAAATCAAGATGAACATTCAGACTTTTAAAAACAAGCCTGATTTCCATGACATTTCTCTTTGAGTGTTCATTCAAGTGAAGTGTCCCTGTCTTGTAAAGTTCTTGTAAAGCAGGCTCTTTAGATGAGCTGGAAGAGGAGCGTGTCAGCAGATGGTGCTTGTGTTTGTGTGTTTCAGGGCGTTTTTCTGGCTGCTGTCTCTGCTGTTGTCCTCTCTGGTGTGGTTCATCGCTATAAAGGCCAGTAACTCACAGGATCTCACCCTTCAGAGGGGGCTGCTGATGTTCGGGGTCTTCTTTTCGGTCTTGCTCCAGGAAGTGTTTCGCTTCGCCTACTACAGACTGCTCAGGTGAGACTCTTTATGGCACCACACGCATGATAAGAAACCCTCCGTGCCAAACCTGATGATTGCAGCATTATAAATGCACAAGCTATTTTCCATTAGAAACTTCTCTGAACTGTTGAGGCAGTGCCTAAATAAACGGGCGGTAATTTGCATGCTTTTCCAGAACAGAAATCTGAACATTGGATACCATCAAGTCCAAAAAATTTGTTGACGCATTAGAGTTTGAAATACTGAGAAACAGACAGAAAATACAACAGTCAAAAAACAATACACTTTCCCCATGTTTTTAGGCATGAAATGTTGTATAAAACAGATGGATGATATGTGAATAAAACCGTCAGAATATAGAGTGGTGGAACTATATTCTGAAGTCACTATGAAGCCGGTTAGTATTTTAGCGCTTCCGGTTCCGTCGTCCCCGAGTCAGTGGGTTTTCTGAATGGGATTTTGGTTAAATCCCTAAAATAAGGTCCGTGGTTCACACAGGCTCAAGATACTTTCACGTTTTATTCTACGACATAAAACACACCCCACTCGTGATTTTTTAAAAAATGGTTACGTTTCTTAAAAAAGACGGCTGCTAATAAGTTGCTAAATGGGACTGCAGGCGCTGTCGGAGACATTCAACGTCATCACGCCGAACAGTTCATCAGTTTGCAGTAATTTCCAGTCGTAGTATAATTTATAATACAATTACCGTATTGGCCCGAATATAAGACGACCCCCCCTTTTCCAGATGTACCTTTTGGGAAAAGGCTTTTTAAAAACCAAATCTGTTTTTTTCTCAGTAAATCACGTTTTGTCTTCAATTATTTTCATATTGCATATTTTTCCTATTTAAATGTTAGTTTTGAAAGTATGGTAAAAACTGGTAAAACGTACCAACAATCACATAAAAAATATACACTTTTTGATATACCATTAAACAAAACAGGTAGCGCATCTGAATTCGGACATTTAGGCTATCCATCTAATAGTAGCCTACCACAATCTCATTAACAGTAGAAGTTAAATCTTACCGTAGTCTTCAAATCTGGGTTCTGTCTTACGTTTTAAAATCACAAAGAGAGTTTGGTTCCATCAGTCACGACTCATGCAGCTGTAAACTTTTCTTTCTCTTTAGTTTTTACTCGCGATCTTTACAACACGCATTACATTACGTATTTCACGGCACTCTGGTTTTATGTGTATTTGGCGCCACCTATTGTTGCTGCTGTATTATTGACACGTCAAACTCTAGACCCTGAATACAAGACCACCGCGTTTTTTCAGATGCATTTCCAAGAAAAAAACATCGTCTTATATTCGGGTCAATACGGTAATTGTAGAATAACCAATTAATAGTTTCCCGCATTTTATATTGTTGGTCGACGATGTTTTTTGTTTTGCCCTGAAATGCAACACAAGTGTTCGGATGGAAGATGCTCGTTTTATCGCTTTCTACTGATGCGGAGACTCTAGGTTTATAAAGTAAACTCGTATTACGATTATTCCATGTAAACAGCACATTTACCGGCTTATTCACGGTGAAAGTGAAGCTTTAACGATGCGTAGTGCTTAAAGCCACGTTAAATTAAAATGTTTACGGCCACATGAAGCAGTTACGGAGCACATAGATCGAGGACTTTCTAGAAGCAAGGATAAAATAACATTTTGTGTAACTTAAAGTTGAAATGTGGTACTTTATTCACTAAAATGAGTTTCATCTTACCATATCCGAAAACTCGCTCACTCTGCTGTTATTTAATAGATTAAATGCACTAGAATTGTACTGAATAGTTTGTGGAGACACGTTTTTCATTAAAATATTCATATTAATCAAGGATTTATTGACTCTTGATGCACCTTACAGAAATACGTGCTTTCATATGTCCCCTAGTTGATTATTTAATTTATTCACTATACTATTTATTATTAATGTCTCATTTCAGTTTTAGTTTGGCTCTAGTTTTGTATTTATTCCAGTTTATATGAAAAGGTTCATGTAGCGTGGATTAAAATTCATATACAGAGTAAATCCTTTTCACTGACTACGTTAAAAATAAGTTAGAGAAGTTGTGGGAAGCAGGTGTTGGTGACGCTGAAGGCGCGCGACCGTGGAGGTGTAGTTAGATTAGCTCTTAAGTTCTGGTGCTTTTATTTAGGCTTCTAAATTCATCAGTTATATTACTTTGTGAAGATTATCTTGATGGACAAAACGTGTAAGTTTCATGCACTATGGTTGAACACAGAGCCTTTTTTTATGCGATAATCCAAAAGCCTATGGAAAAATGCTGTAGGGTTTTTGTGGAGGGCACCAGTGCGATGCTAACAGCCGAGCCGCCTGCGGAGGGGCGTCATAGTTCCCCCGCTCGATGGATGGGATTTCTGACTGCAGATGTTGTTTTCTTTTCATTAGTCATGCTATGGAAGCAAAATAGCCCAAAAATGCATGAAAACATAATTTTGTGTGTTTGTAGAGTAATTTACAACAGCTTTGAACGCGGCTCAGCCAATCAGAATCAAGCACCGGAATCTTTGAAACCGTGATTAATTTTGAACTCTTGTGTTGAATCATCAGGAAGGCCACCGAGGGTCTGGCAGCCATTAGTGATGATGACGGTTCAGCTATTTCGGTGCGACAGATGGCTTACGGTAAACTCTGTCTGTGCTCAGCTGAAAACAGCTTGCTGTTGTTGTGTTTCATGTTGCACTCAGGATCACTGGATGGCAGGTTTGATCAGATGTCTGTGTGTGTTTCGTGTGCAGTGGCTGGGCTGGGCTTTGGGATCATGAGTGGAGCGTTCTCAATGATCAACATACTGTCTGACTCTCTGGGTCCCGGGACGGTGGGCATCTTTGGAGACTCACAGTATTACTTCATTACAGCAGGTGAGCTCCTGCAAAGCCTCATGGGCCATCCGGACAATTTCTTAATCTTAAACCTTTAGATGTGCTGTTTTTACGTCAGCACATGACAAGTGACACGAAACCAGTCCTGCTGCTGGGGAAAGATGTATATTCTATTTTAATGATCGCTGGGACCAAGTGATTTACAAAACACTCACTTTTGTGAAAAACACAACGCTACTTTCATATTTTAATCTGGACAAACATATGAGACGGGTGCTTTTTTGTGACAGAGTAAAGGTCGTGTTGTTAGGTTCTACTTTTATGAGAAACACCTGTATGTTACATTATTACATTTCTTACAATATTTTGTTCTTGATTGTTCCAGTTTTTAAATATTATCATTCAAATGTCATGTTTATAATCCTCAAATGAGCTGATTTAAAATGTCACTATCATGGGCAGAAACATCCTTCTGTCACCCAGGGTTATTATAGTTAACAAAAACGTAAAACATTTTAGTTATATGAAATATAATATTAAAATAAATAAACTAATTCAAACTTTAATTTCAGCTTGTTGCCAAGGCAGCATTTCTCATTTTCATTTAGTTTATCTTATTGTACTAAAATAACCAAAACTGAAACAAAATTTTATATATATATATATATATATATTAAAAACAATAACATTTATATATACATAAAAATTAAGAATGAATACAAGAACAAAACGACTAAATTTGTCTGTTTAATTTTGGTCTCCAGTCTGTTCTGTTGTTTTTAATTTATATATTCTTATATATTACTACACTGCTATATAGTTTTTTTACTGTTCATAATAACAGGGTTCCCACAGTTATGAAAAACCTGGAAATATCAGGAAATTTTAAAATTGTGGTTTCCAGACCTGGAAAGTCATTGGAATTGTTCTAGTTATGCTCATTTCTGAAATATTGACTAGGAATTGCTGTTTGAGAGTGCAGTCCTTTTGGGGGGGAAATAAATAAATTAATAAAATAATAATAATAATGTAAAAGTTCTTTAGTGCGACTGGGAAAGTCATGAAAAATGCATGAAAATTCATTAGTCCAAAAGGATCTGTTATTATTTATTAAAGGGATACAAATGATCATCAAAAATTCTGTCTTAATTTACTCTCATGTCATTCAAACCTGGATGCATTTCTTTCTTTTGTAGAAAAAAAGCTACAAGAAAGAAATGCATAGAGTTTTGGATCCCTTGCTTTAATGGCCGTGCTCTGAACCGTGGGCCTCAAGATGACTTTAAATGGCTTTCATTTTAAACTATTTTAAAGTGTGATTTCTGGATTTAGTCAAATCATGTAAAATCTTATAACTCCGTGGACATTTTTATAGCGAATGTACGTTTTTCTAGATATGCCAAGCTCTAAAATATTTTGTCGGGTGAAAACAAATCTTAAATCCTCATCATTAATCCAAAAGATGAGAGGTGAGGTCTTACTGGAATACCCTGGAGTGCTGAAGCATGAGCAGCACTGATGTTGAGGCTTGTGTGTTGATGTCCGCAGCGCTGATGACGCTGGCGCTGACGCTGCTGCACACGTTTTGGGGTGTGCTGTTCTTTGAGGGCTGTGAGAAGAGCTGCTGGTGGGTCATCGCTGCAGTCGTCTCTCTACACTTGTTAGTCGCTGGCCTGGTGAGCTTTACATGAACACACATGCATCCTTCACATGTCAACATGTCTCTGATGTGAACTGACGGTAAAAGACTTTGAAGTTCAAGTCATTTCAGGTTTCATTTATAAATCACTCACAGGACACTTCACTCTATATGCGTGTTTCCTTATGCATGGGGGTTATACTTACTGCAAAGAAAGTTGACTAATTTATTTTGTTTTTGTTGCTTTTTTTTTGCATTTGCTTTAAATTAATATTTTATCCGTTGACCTTTAGAAAAACATTGAACAACTTCCAGGCATGCTTTTTTGTTGCCTCTTGATGTTTTTCATGGGGAATGCATTGGTAACTGTGTTAGCAGAGATTTATTTTCCCTCATGCTGAACCTCCATGATGTATGTTTGATTCTGTCAGAACGATCTCTGAGCCGCTGTGCAAATGCCTGTATTATCCGGCACATAAAAAAAAACAATCCCGTGCACCAGAGTTTACTTTATCATTTTGTGACAAATTATTTCTTCTTGTAGGCCTATAAACTGTATTCATGGTGTCTCTAACAATTTTAACTTGAGAATTGATTTTTAATTAGTCTAATTTATCTGTGACTCAACTATTTCTGACTTTACCAGCACACTAATGGCGAGAGATAATACTTGATACTTTCATTCAACACTGATACATTAAATTGATCAAAAGTGGCAGTAAAGAATTTTACATTGTTTGCGAAAATTCTATTTTAAATAAATGCTATTCTTTTGAACTTTCTATTCATCAAAGAATCCTGAAAAAAAGATATGTAGCAAAAATGTTTTCAACATTGATAATAATCAGAAATGTTTCTTGTGCAGCAAATCAGAATGATTTCTGAAGGATCATGTGACACTGGAGTATTCAACTTTGCGTCGTTACATTTTAAATTATATTAAAATAGAAAACTAATAATTTTCACAATGTTACTGTTTTTACTGTAATTTTGATCAAACAAATGCAGCCTTGGTGAGCAGAAGAGGCTTCTTTCAGAAACGTAAAAAAAATCTTCCAGATCCATAACTTTTGAACTGTAGTGTTCATAAACTTGGTAAATAAATTCATTAGAGATCTTCATCGCTTCATGACAAGCTTCGCGCCTGTAGCTTGTGTTGGTATAAAGTTACACCAGGCATTTGATACACACTCTGGTATTACCCGGTAGTGCTGTTTTAGAAAGCTTGCTCGGATGTCTGATGTTTCATCTGGATGCAGCAGCAGAGCTTCACATTACCAGAGTAGCACAGAAACCATCGTGATGTTACAGGAGTGTGACTGCGTTTCGGTTTCATACGCACAGCTCGGGTTATTTGTGTACATAAACTTTCCCCAGGAAATGTTATTGCTCAGTGATTGCTTTTTATAACCCTGTTTACATCTTATATTACCACACGTCTCAAATATTAAATGTGTCCAGTCCAGGTCCAATTTGGTCTCCAGTTTTATTATGGGATGCATCACTTAGTGTCTACTACTAGTCTTAAAAAGCACAAATCTGACATTTTCTCTCTTCCCATCTGTCAGTCGCTGCTAAATCCGCTGTATGAAGGCAGTCTTCCTCCTGTGTACGTCATTACGCTGCTGATGGGCGTCTGGGCGTTCTTCTCATCTGGAGGATCACTACACAGCCTCAATGCTCTCTGCACACGTAAGACATGATGACACACACACACTTGACATGATCTTCCTTCAGCTGCGAGATGCCAGTGATGCCTGAGAGTGTCTATGAGCCAGTCTGAAGCGTGAGCTCTATATCAGTGTTTCTGAGCCCTGGGTTCGAGCAGCAGGCTTGGAGGACACTGCTCTACATGACCCTGAGAGCTGTTTAAAGTCATATGCTTCCAGATGTTCATCGTCGCTCTCATTATAGTACGCTGTGTGTCTCATATCAGCAGGCCCACATGAAAACAGTGCCCATGTTTCCACAGTTGTGGATAGCAACAAAGTATTTTTACTCTGCTACTATATATAAGCACGTTTGTCAAGGATCTCAAACGTTTATTCCACTGCATCCCAAAGTATGATTTTGTACATTTTAGAAAAAAACATGGTTTTTCATAATTTAGTGAAGAAACGCTTTAACTTCATTAATTGTTTCCTCTGAAGCAGGATTCACAAAAATGTTCATAAGAAGTTCGTAAGAATGTTCCTATGTACAGTTCTTTAAAAAAAAAAAAAAAAGATTATTTTTTAAAGAACGAATGTTTTTTATGGAATTATACAATTTGTACAGTGTAAAAAACATTACACCTATATATATATATATATATATATATATATATATATATATATATATATA